AGCTACCTTGACTGATCAACAACTGCTGAGATGAACACTCAGCCACCTACAGCCCTGACTGGTGGTTTAGCACTAGCAGGAGTAGTTGGGTGCATTGACTGTGCAGTGCTACTGAGCAGGAAACAGGCTGCATTCTCTTAATGAGTCTACAAGGAAGTCGCTGACCCACCCATCCCGAAAATGTTTATTTTTCTCAGCCGTCATACTAATCCCCAGAATGCTTTCTGATGCACAGAAAGTGTGCGGCCAGTAAAATGAGAGCTTATGATTTAGTAGCAATAAATGTGTGCGGCCACTGTTCCTCCAAACCAGGGGTGGGCAATTCATTTTCATCAGGCCACCTGAGAAACTGGGACTGTTGTGGAGGGCCGAATGCTAGGGGCAGGAAACAACTATGACGTCACTGATAGGATTATCTGGTGGTCCTAGCAACCAATGACTGCAGAGGAGGTGGACACCTGATGTCATTGGTTGCTAGGATTCCAGAGGTCCTAGCAACCAATGACTGCAGAGAAGGTGGACACCTGATGTCATTGGTTGCTAGGATGCCAGAAGTCCTAGCAACCAATGACTGCATCGGAGGTGGACACCTGATGTCATTGGTTGCTAGGATGCCAGAAGTCCTAGCAACCAATGACTGCATCGGAGGTGGACTACCTGATGTCATTGGTTGCGAGGATGCCAGAAGTCCTAGCAATTAATGACTGCAGAGGAGATGGACATCTGACGTCATTGGTTGTTGGGATGCCAATGGTCCTAGCAATTCATGACTGAAGAGGAGGTGGACACCTGGCATCATTGGTTGCTAGGAAGGCACATCCATTGTCGGTCAGCCATAACTGAGCGTAGGTCTGTGATTGATCCCTGTCTGGATCGTGGGCTGGACAGGAACAGCCAAAGGGCTGTAAATTGCCTAGGTCTGCACCAAACCTATTCTGGTGACACCTCGGAAAGGTGGGATTTTCTTCTCTTTTAACATTTCCTCTAATTTACTGTTAAATACATTCCGGGGACATCAAAACAAAAAGGTGTGCATATCCTACAGCCTATTTTCTTTAGAAAGCAGCACCAGCCTGAGAAGAACAGCCTGTCCCTGCCAGCATGCTGCAGAGACCGTTCCTTGCTCTCTGTGTGGACCTGTAGCTCTACAAGCAGCAAGTTGGAGAGCTCTACCTCTGACTCGGCAGGGTGGGTGTCAAAGCTCTGTAGAGAGACCACTGCTTCCACACAGAGAGCAAGGATCCTTCTCTGCAGCATGCTGGCAGGGGACAGGCTTTCTACACAGGCTGTGGCTGCTTTCTAAATAAACTGTAAAACTTTACAGAACTTTGGTTCTGATGCACCTGGAATGTATTTAGCTTATTGAAAGTGTAGTTGTGCTTTCATTTTTTTTAATGAATTTTTAGCTGCCCTGATTGTGGCTTTTCTTCTGTGTACCTGCAGTTCAGCTCCAATCACCGGCCGCTATAAATCACATTCACATATAACCGTTTCCATAGCACAGTGTACATGATGACAGCCGGCCTGACTTATGACTGTTTGTTTTGCTATGTAGACCGCCTCTAATAATGAAGTCATGGATGGGAAACTTTTGATTTTCTTGCAGGGACTTGCAGGCAGCGTTGTGCAGCTTAGGCTGGAAGTTGTGGTTTCTGGTAAGCCACCCGCGGCTCTACAAGACACCACATGTACACACATCCGATGGGCACTGGAGGTACGCTGGCATCCGCCATCCCTCACATGGCTGTGGTCACGTATTGGTAAAGAGTTGAAGTGACTGCAAAATCCTAACTGCATGATAATTCGTTTTCTAAAGCCCCGGGCATTACAGACAACTGACAGTTAACAAATTACTTGTTGTCAACCTGCATTGCTGCTGATCTTCTGCAGCCTCTTTGCAGCCAAATGCTGTCTAAGATGGTTGCATGGCGTTTATCAAGGTGGGTTTCCTGATGGTGACAACAGTGGACCATGTATGTAGAACATGTGTTGAAATGGATGCCTGTCATCTCCATTGGAAACCAGTGTGACAATGCAGGAGCACAACCGGGAGACAGGGACAGCTCGTTGTCACCCTGTAAAGGAAGTGAGTGAACAGGATCTTTCATGGCAGGATCACCAGGGAATATTTTAATGAAAGCTGCAAACTATTGGGAATGTCTTTAAAATTACATTTTAAAGCTCCAGTGTATACTTACAATGATCCTGATTGATACAATGTATTAATATTTCATCCCTGATAGGGCCACGGGGATCCTGTAAAGTACTGTAATGGATACTACAGCGATCTTCCAGGTCCGGTACTGACTCCCAGAGGGTCGCTCGCTCGGCACAGCGGCCATTCAGCAAACACCTAGAGGGTTATTCACTAAGGTGCCGCGTGCAGCCGAATCAATAATGGAGCCGAAGTGAAGTGAAGAGGCTTCGGCTATTCATTGCAGCCGTGTACTGTTATTTTCAGCCGTAAATGGGCTGCATTCGGCTTGCTTCACCTCCCTTCGGCTTGGCCGAATAGCCTCAGCATGTTTGGCTGAACCGAAGGGAAGATCCTGTTCGCCTCAGCCGATCCAGGTGTTGTATCAGTTGAGGTGAACATTTGGCAGTTCCTTCTCTGCTGTTCCCCCCTATTCTTCAAGTGGCCGAACAGCAGAGAGTGAATTGCCGAACTTCAGCTCAGTATTTGGCTTGGTCATTCTGTTTACTACCTCAGAATGGAAACGGTTACTGTCCAAAAAAAAAACAACAGCACAGTGTCCCCTTCCCTTTAGGTCTGGCATGTGCACCAAGTCATAGGTCCTGTGGGTCCCTTTCCCTTTAGGTCTGGTATGTGCACCAAGTCATAGGTCCTGTGGGTCCCTTTCCCTTTAGGTCTGTTATGTGCACCAAGTCATAGGTCCTGTGGGTCCCTTTCCCTTTAGGTCTGTTATGTGCACCAAGTCATAGGTCCTGCTTTTTAAAGGAAATGTACTGTCAGACGTTGCACACTTTGATTTGAAACTGCAAGTTCAACTGGGCTTTGGTGCGGCAATCCCTTTACAATTCTGAAGGTTTATAGGAGTAGAGTTCTTCGGAGCTTTGTGTAAAATTATGCCGAATAGAGTACAAAATATATTTCTGTATTGCGAACAGAGGACCTGGGTCCTGCCCGCCACCCTCCCGATTCTCTCGCCGTTCAAAAGGGCACGCGTCTTTCATGCTCTTCCAGCTCGGCACAAGCCTCTGCCATGCCCCAGTTTCCCAGGCTGACACCCCGTCTGTTCTATGCTCACTGAGCGTTTGCTGAACCGGCACAGTACACCAGTGAATTCAAGGTAACGCATTAATGATGCAGATAGGCTGCTAACGAGATTAGTGTCTTGCGGATGAGACGGAGCCGAGCTTCCAGGAAATACAAGGAGTACGTCTCCGGATGTCGCCAGAACAGGAACGCAGAGTCTCCGCCGGTTTAACAGAAACCTCGGGTAACATTGGTAGATTTTTTTTTAACCTTTCCTTGACAGTCACATTATTGCACAAATCTCCTTTTCGGTCTACTGTGCTCCCCGATCTGAGCATTAAAGGTGTGTTTTTTTAATGCAACGTCTGGTCTGAATTTTAAGGCCTCATTTACACGAGAGAAAGCCAGCACATACACATTTACACGAGAGAAAGCCGGCACATACAGCTCCGAGCTGCGTGCAGGGCCGTATCGGGCAGCTCCCGGGAAGGACGGGTGCAGCGCGTGATTAGTACGAAGCCCCTGTCCTTCTCTATGGGAATACGCGGCCGTATGCCGCCCTACGCTCACCTGACCTGCACGTCCGTACGGGTTCGGGTGTCCCGGCTCGGACGCAGACATTCTGTCAGAGTATGAGTACCGACACCCGCACGGACGTGCATGGCGCGTGAGCGTAGAACGGCATTCAGAAGATATACTAACCTGATCCTTGGGCCTGTGGCAGTCAGTGCTCACCTCTCTTCCCACCTCCATTCTGGCTATGGTAAGTCCCTCAGCATCTTTGTGTCTAATGCAAGTGAATGGATCTAATTGACATGGATGTGACGACGTCAGTGGGGCTTAGGCCGAGGCCCAGGGAAGAAGAGCCTGTGGGGACCAGTCTAGCAGCCCGGAGGGGTTAGTACAGCTTCTTTGATCCAGCCCCTAAACCAAAATGAGCAGTTAACCCTGGCAGTGCGGTGGTAGCCCCACTGAAAGGGTTAATTTTTTCACATACTAGAGTTCTGCTTCAAGCCCTGAGGAAGGGGCAGATCCTTCCCCTGAAAAGCATTGGTTGTAAATCACTCAATACATTTTTCAAATCAATTTCAAGCTACTTGATTGTTTGTGCCAGGCCCACTTAACTTTACTCAACAAAGGCACTCCCCCCATTTAACTGTCAAATGTCAGAGTCTCCGCTGCTCACAGATCATGTGACAGTTGAACGACAGGAAGTTATAGAGACTTAAAAAAAAAAAACAATTTTCTGCCTTTGACTTACAAGTTAATGGTTCCGCTAGTGAGCGCGCTGACCACCCACTGCAGGTCCAGGGTCTTGAAGGGGATCAGGATCATGCTGACGTTCTCAGGCAGTTCAGGGACGCTCTCTGGGTACACAAAATGGTGCGTCGTTTTATTCCCCACGTCCCTTTCGAACCTGGCGGTGGGGGCGTGGTTCATCCTGGGAGAAACCAACATTGCGTTAAATGTACCAGCAAAATAACGTCACTCAGATCATTTCTCCAGCCAAAACTTTCTTGTGTTGTTCTGGACAGAGCAGTAAAGAGACAGAACCTTCATTTCAACTGCTTACTGTGGCCCCATATCAGCGATTTCCCCCTTTATTCTCAACATGTGTTTTGAGTTGGGCTTCATGCGGTATTTGTACTACAAACCATGGGGCCTATTTATGAACAATTCGCAGGGCCGTTTTGTGTAAATCATGGCAAAAACCAATGTTCTCAATATATTTTATTTCCAGGTCAAATGTATTGTTATGTAATACCACATTATGGCCACTAGATGGAGCTGATGTGTATAGCAAATAAGTATTTATTTCCTCTGCTCACTCTAGTGGCCAGAATGCAGTATTACATCACAATACATTCCCAAATTGTTTATAAATAGATCCCTAAGTGTCCTATCCTTAAATGAGGACTAAATTGTTCTAGAGATGGTGTAGAGGGCAGTGACATGCATATATATTCTAGGAAGGGCGACTGGGGTAGTCAAGATTATTTATTCAAATTTTTCTAAAGTGCAACTAAAGCCAAAACTTTTTTGTTAAGTTTTGGATAGTGGAGAGGAAATAGAACCCCCGGTTCGGTTTTTATTGTTGTCCGTGTCCCCAGTAGGGAGATTCACCCTATTTGTCCTGGTGACCATTATCACTGAAAGTAAAAGAAAATCCTAAATTGACACCAGACAGGAACAGATGGGAAATCTTCCAATGGGGGCATTAGTTCTGGTGACCCTGATGACCACCAAGGATTTTCTTAAAGGAGAACTATGAGGTGATTGTTTTTCACTCACCACATAGTTCTAGCCGACCTGTGACAATGAGACTGTCACAGGTCGGCTCAGTAGATCGGGAGGTGAGCGAACACATACCGGCGTTCGCTCACTTCTCGATCCTGTCACGGCTCTCTGCCGTGACAGGGGAGGGGCTGGATTCCTTTCCTGACTGACTGGCGGAACGGACGGGGGACGGGTACAGCTGGCTCTTCCTTTAGCTAGACAGAGCCAGCTGTCAGTCACGCAGCTGGGCGGATCCCGGCACAATTGTCGGGATCCGCTTCAGCTGCGGCGTCTCAGTATACCACGAGCTACAGCTAGTTTGTGTCCTCCCATTACCCTAAGGAGAACTATGGGGAAAAGACAGCCCCATAGTTCTCATTTAATTTAGGGGGGATTTCCTGGTCTGTCTCAGGGATGAGCCCCCAGCCTGACTCCGGGATGAGCCCCCGTCCTGACAACGGGATGAGCCCCCGTCCTGACAACGGGATGAGCCCCCGGCCTGACTCCGGGATGAGCCCCCGGCCTGACTCCGGGATGAGCCCCTGGCCTGACTCCGGGATGAGCCCCCGGCCTGACTCCGGGATGAGCCCACGGTCTGACTCCAGGATGAGCCCCCGGCCTGACTCCGGGATGGGCTCTTGGTCTGACTCAGGGATGGGCTCTTGGTCTGACTCAGGGATGGGCTCTTGGTCTGACTCAGGGACGGGCTCTTGGCTTGATGCATGTGCAGGTAAACTTCAGTGTGATCTCAATTGATCTATTTGTACAATTCCACCAAACATTTCCCTTCAAGAAGACAGTACTCTAATGGCAAAGGGATTTTTTTATTTTTCTGTGAGCAATCACAGACCAGTAAAAAGAAAAAAAGAACAACCATCATCAATGTATTCCAAAGATTAACTGCCCATCCACTCCCATGAAGAAGGATTGTATACCAAAGTATAAACGTGTCCTGGAGGGATTTGGGGGACAAGTCTACGAGTGTGGCAGGAAACCCCTAAAACCCCGAACCATCATCCTGAATCTCACCTGAATACAAAGTTGTGGGAGTCAATGTCCGGTCCGTAGTCCGATTCCTTAAGATTACCCGAATTTCCCACCACGGCACACGTTCGGCAATGGTACGGACTCCGTTCTACCAGGTTGGTCTCTCCCGGGATGACTTTAAACAACTCTTCGGTGGCTAGGTTGATATCCAAGGGGTTTTTCTCACCCTGCAATCGCTGGTGTTGCAAAGAAAAAATAGAATGGATGAAATCCACCTGAATTCGATTCACACAGAGACACATTTCATTATCATTTGTTCTCACTGCCTTATAGCGGATTTCCAGCCAAAACTTTAATTTAGCTTTAGACAGAGTAAGGGAAGCTTGCCTGTCTGTCCCTTTGGGAAGATATCCCTGTACTTTGTGTCTCAGTGACAATGTCTCCATGTAATGCAGATGAAAATACAGACATGATTGAAGCCCAGCTTAGGTGAAAACTATAGCTTCCGTCCTAGATACAGTGGAGAGATGAGTGTAGACATCCAAGGACAGGAAGTGGGACATTCTCAGGATTATCTGCCACCACATCTATGGACTGGTAAAAAAGAAAATCTCATCCATGCCTCTAATAGTAATGGAGAAAAACATCAAACTTTAGGGTTTCCTGGCGTGGTGCTGGGTGTGTCTTAAAGGTCAACTCCAGTCCAAAAGTGGGGTGGGTAAGAAGTGGGTGGCACAGTGATTAGCACTTCTGCCTTGCATTGCTGGGGTCCCTGGTCCGTATTCCTGGCCAGGTCAGTATCTGCAAGGTATTTGCATGTTCTCCCTGTGCTTGCGTGGATTTCCTCCGGGTACTCCGGTTTCCTCCCACACTCCAAAAACTTGCTAGTAGATTAATTGGCTCCTGTCTAAATTGGCCCTCGTATATATACATGTGAGTTAGGGACCTTAGATTGTAAGCGCCTTGAGGGCACTGATGTGAATGTGCAACTATGTAAAGCTGCATAAATAGTTGGCGCTATATAAATAACTGTAATAAATAAATAAAATAATAAATTCATGTTTGTGTCCCCATTGGAGAGCTTTTCCTCACTTCCCGTCCAAGTGACACCTTCTCATCCATCCCAGATAGCTGTTAAAACTTAGGTTCTAACCCTTCCTCAGTCTATACAAAACTAAAACAACAGATGTCTACCCTTCCGTCATTCTTGCAGACAGATAGAGGATGTTCTTGCAAGCATGATGAAGAATTCAAAGACTCACAATATTCTTAATGTGAAACTATAGTGTTTATAGAACTTCTTTAGAGACATATGTGACTGACATATTTATAATGGAGAGCATGGAGATAAGCAGGCCCAGCATAAGCCATGTTACTAATTCCTTATGCAACCTCTGCTTACTGTTTAGTAGCGCTGCACTGTGACTGTGATTTACTGATTTTCTCTGCCAGTGCAAGTCTATGGGGTCAGGTTTGAACTAAATTAACATAATCTTTATAAGGCTGACCAAGCTTAATAAGGACTTTGCCTTAAATGCAAGGCAGACTTATTGCACCAGGCCTTCCACCCCGACCCTAAATCACTGCATTAAAGCGGGAAAAAAAGTTTAAAAAATGACCTGGCTTTATCTTAGAGCCTAGATCTAGCTCGTGGTTGAAGGCAAGATCCTGAAAACTGTGAGTGTTCCGAATCTTGCGAGAAGACAATCCCGTTAAAAATCTTTATTTTTTTTTGTGGGATTTGGGATACTCAGCATTCCCAAGATCTTGACAGAAGAATTGCATAGTAACCCTCTACAGCAGCCATGGTCAACCAGGTTTCCTTGGAACCCTTGGGTTCCTCCACAGGTTGGCAGGGGTTCCCTGAACTGTGGCCAACTGACCTTCCTCTGATTAGAAATTTCAGCAGGGAAATGGAAGGTGATGAAGATTAATGAAAAGGGAAGGCGGTGAATGGTAAGGTAATGAGGTGATGAATGGTAAGAATGATAAGGTGATGAAGGGTAGAGGACCAGAAGAGCAAAGGTAATAAAAGATAAGGGACCAGAAAAGGGAAGTTGATGAAGCGTAGGAGACAAAAAAAAAAGAAGGTGATGAAGGGTAGGGGACAAGAAACAGGAAGGTGATAAAAAGTAGGGACCAGAAGAGGAAAGGTGATGAAGAGTAGGAGGCCAGAAACAGGAAGGTGATAAAAAGTAGGAGACCAGAAGAGGAAAGGTGATGAAGAGTAGGAGGCCAGAAACAGGAAGGTGATAAAAAGTAGGAGACCAGAAGAGGAAAGGTGATGAAGAGTAGGAGACCAGAAACAGGAAGGTGATAAAAAGTAGGAGACCAGAAGAGGAAAGGTGATGAAGGGTAGGAGACCAGAAACAGGAAGATGATGAAAAGTAAGAGACCAGAATAGGAAAGGTGGTTAAAGGGTAGTTGGTGGTTGAAGGGTAGGAGATCAGAAAAGGGAAGATAATGAGGAGTAGGAGACCAGAAAAGGAAATATGATGAAGGATAGGGAACCAGAAAAGGAAAGGTGATGAGGGGCAGGGAACCAGAAAAGGAAAGGTAATGAAGAATAGGGAACCAGAAAAGGAAAGATATTGAAGGGTAGGAAACCAGCAGAAGAAAGGTAATGAAGAATAGGGAACCAGAAAAGAAAAGGTGAGAGGTAGGGAACTATAAAAGGAAAAATGATAAAAGATATGAAACCAAAAAAGGAAAGGTGACGAAGGATAGGGAACCAGAAAAGGAAAGGTGACAAAGGGAAGGATACCATAAAAGGGAAGGTGATGAAGCATAAGGAACCAGACAAGAAAGTGAAGGATAAGGAAAGGTGATGAAGTATAGGAAAGCAGAAAAGGAAAGGTGATGGATAGAAAAACAGAAAAGGAAAGGCGATGAAGGATAGGGAACCAGAAAAAGAAAGGGGATGAAGGATAGGGAACCAGAAAAAGAAAGGGGATGAAGGGTAGGGGACCAGAAAAAGAGAGTCTGATAAAGCGTGTGGGATCAGGACAGGGAAATTGATAAGGAAGCGGCCAGTTGTAGTCTCTACAAACAGCTATTTTTAAATAGTGATGTTTTACTGAATTTTCCTGTTGAAATTTATTTGCTGTTTTTGCATTTTTATTTTTGAAATCAGAAATGATCTATTCCTGGTCTGTATGTTATACCTGGTTCTATATGAGTGAGTTCAAAGTCAGCCCATTAGCTAGATTTTGACAGACGGTATAATTTAGGACCGCATTGATAAATCAGATATCAAACCGATGCCCAAAGCCTGTCGACACAGGGACCTTGTCACTTTGCCTGAACGGATTAGTGACAGGGTCTATTTGACTCTTTATTTAGAGCAACCTGTTACTCTAAAAATCTGGGGTACATTATCATGAATCAATAACGCACCACAGATTTTTGGAGTGACAGGATGATATACGGTAAATAAAACACCTAAAAAAGCCCTTTCCACTCCCCTTGGCTCTCTATCAACCATTATTCCATCATACATGACAGCCAACAGGAAGGCGAGGGGAGCGGGAAGGATGGGACAACATGTGACCGTGTGAGGTTCCCATAATAAGGATCCTTGCATTATCAGGGTACTGGGGCAACCTATAAAAATATTAATAATGATAATAAATGAAATTTGTTTATAAAAATGATCATAAAACTGTGAAGGCAATTGTCATAAGGTGTTCGGAATTAAGTTCAGACGCTGTCAAATTCCTTTTGTACATTTTCAGCGTTTAATTAGACGTAATGACAAAAAGTAGAACGTGGAAGATATAAATCCATATGTCGCTGTCACAATGTAACTTAAAATAACACAGGGCCATATCTGTAGGCTACATCGTATTTCTGTCAGCGACAGAGGCCAATTATTCAAGGCAAAGAGATCTATTCTTAGCGGCACAGGTGGTAAGGGGTAAGTCGCTGCGTGGGGGGGCACCCGTGTCAGGTTAACCTTTTCGCTGCCACCGACGTAAGGCATACGGCGGAACAAAAGTGTTCCCGGCTGGCCAGCTCAGTATGCCTTACGTCGGTGGCATTTACAGTTCTGCTATAAGCTCATGGTCGCTTTAGCGACCATAAGCTTATAGCAGAACTGTTCAGCAGACTGTCCCCTTCAAAATAATAGCTGTCATCAGCGGCTCACAAGCCGCTGATGACCGCTATTAACGAAAATACTGGGCGCCCCCCCCCGCCGGCACCGCTGCTGCCAGCCGCCGGCATCTGGAGTCTTTCATCCCTGCCTGAAGCTGCTCCATGCAGGGATGAGAGACTCCATGGATCCCCACTGCTGCCCCCCACTTGTAGGGTCTGTGGCAGCGGGGATCCCATGAAAATTGGCTGGCGGGGGGGCGAGCGGCGGCCGCAATCCAGGATGGCCGAGCGGTGTTCTGTTTGGAGGCGCTGTCATCCTGTGATTTTTTGGGTGTACTGAGTGCTTCCCATTCATTGAGTGCTGAGGCTGCAGAAAAAAAAATTGAGGACTCTATGTCCTCAATATCTTTTAACATTTCAAAAGGGAAATGTCAGGGGTCTATTTAGACCCCAGATATTTCGCCGCAGCCCCCCCCAACATGAAAAAAAAATTTGAAACAAATATCACAAAATAAATAGAAAATGTAAAACAAAATGAAAATAAAAAAATAAATAAAAAAATAAAATTATTAAAAAAAAAAAAGTGTACAAAAAAAACTATTAAAAAAAGCAAAACCCATCCTTTCTACCGGGCCTGCGCTTTCAGAAAATATTTGGTTTGGGGGTTCATTTACAAACGCTAGCAACTCAGCAGTGGAAAATCAAATCAATGGGAAATGAGTTGCCGGCATCTGGAGCTGGCAACTAATTTCCCTGCCGGCTCCAGACAGGGATCTGTGACTCCAAGGATTGCCGCTGCTGTCCCCCGCTTGAGACAAAAACCCCAGGGTGGGGGGCGCAGGAGCAAGCGTTTTTCTGGCGGGGAGAAGCCGCAACTTTCAGGATAGCCGAGCAGTGAGGAGAACGGAGCCGCTGTCATCCTGTCAGTTTCCGGGTTGACAGCGGCTCTGTGCATGGCCAAACGGAGGATCGATGTACCTCTGTGGTACCGAACAGAATAGAAAAAGGAGAAAAAAAAGGAGAAAATGATTGGGTGGCGCTAGCATTGACAGCTAGCTCCACCCAACTGCTTTCTATTGGCCGGGACCAGCTGTCATTACAATGAGAGCTTGTCGGAGCCGGCGGTGATATCAAAGCTGGCTCCGACAAGCTCTCATGGCAGTTCAGCATCCCCTGGTCACTAGGTAACCAGGAGATGCTGAACTGTCATTACACACTGAGAACCCGGCGGAGCTGCTGTGATATCATAACAGCACTGCCGGTTCTCAGGAGGTAATGACAGTCCAGTGTCCCCTGGTTACTAGGTACCCAGGAGATGCTGAACTGTCATTAAACACTGAGAACCCGGCGGAGCCGCCGTGATATCATGGCGGCTCTGCCGGGTATGAGTGTGTGATGACAGTCCAGCGTCCCCTGGTTACTAGGTAACCAGGAGATGCTGAACTGTCATTACACACTGAGAACCTGGCGGAGCCGCCGTGATATCACAGCGGCTCCACCGGGTTCTCAGTCTAATGACAGGTCAGCGTCCCTGGTTACCAGGGAAGCTGATCTGTCTCTGCATGCAAGTGGCTGGAGCCAGGCGTGAGATGACGGCTGGCTCCACCAAGCTGTCAGTAGCAGGTTGTCGGCCGTTTGGCCAGCTTCGGCTTTCACCTCGGCTCAGTCGAGCCAAAGCATTTGCCTTCGGCTCGACTATAATGAATAGCCCGTACAGCAGCCCTTCGGATCTACTGAACTGAAGGGGTGCTGGGGCCGAAGCTAGCCGAAGGATCAGCCGAAGCTATGGCTAGATCCTTCGGCAGCTTTGTAAATAACCACCATAGTACTATGCGTCCCCAGTTATGAATGAACAGGCTGTGATTTACATCACTTCCTGTTCATTCATGAATTTCTGAATGGGGAGTAGCACTCCCTATGGAGGCTTCTCCCCATTCATAAACTGCTTGATAGTAAATATATTACTATCAGCAGTTTCTGAATGAATGGGAAGCCTCTGTACTGAGTGCTTCCCATTCATTGAGTGCTGAGGCTGCAGAAAAAAAAATTGAGGACTTTATGTCCTCAATATCTTTTAACATTTCAAAAGGGAAATGTCAGGGGTCTATTTAGACCCCAGATATTTCGCCGCAGCCCCCCCAACATTAAAAAAAAAATTTAAACAAATATTACAAAATAAATAGAAAATGTAAAACAAAATTAAAATAAAAAAATAAAATTATTTTTAAAAAAAAGTGTACAAAAAAAACTATTAAAAAAAAAGCACAACCCCTCCCTCCCTCAATGTCTTTTTCTATTTCAGAAGGGAAATGTCGGGGGTCTGTTTAGACCCAGAGATTTCACCGTAGCCCCCCCAACAGTAAAAAAGAAAAAATAAATTATTAAAAAATAAATAAAAAATGTGTAAAAAAAAACGAATAAAAAAAAGCACAACCCCTCCCTCCCCCCACATAACATACCGTGGTGTATGCCATGCACATGCGCTGCAGTGCATTGTAAGAACGCAACACAGTGCATAATTTTTGTAATTACTTTTTTTTATTTTAAAAACGGCACACATTCACTGTGGTATCATTTCGATAAGCTTATGCAATGTCACAACATTGATTTCCCTCCAGAGTTGCATTCATTTTTCACTAAGATCTTATAGTGATGATGGGAAAGTTGGACCACTGCGTAAAGTCTTCTCCAGCACATCCCAAAGATTCTCAATGGGGTTAAGGTCTGGACTCTGTGGTGGCCAATCCATGTGTGAAGATGATGTCTCATGCTCCCTGAACCACTCTTTCACAATCTGAGCCCGATGAATCCTGACATTGTCATCTTGGAATATGCCCAAAAAATCAATTGATGGAAAAACCTGGTCATTCAGTATATTCAGGTAGCAGCTGACCTCATTTTTTAGGCACATAAAGTTGCCAAACCTAGACCTGACCAACTGAACCAAGCCCAGATCATAACACTCCCCAAAATCCAGGTGGTGACTTTTGGCTGGGCAATGTATTACTATTTGATAGCAATGCCAATAGGACAACCCTAGGGTCCAGCGATACCCAGTGCCGTAGCTAGCTCTTTTTGCGCACGAGGCAAGAATAGAAAATTGTGACATCATGTGCCCCACCTCCAGGATGGCGGCACGCATGTGCCTCTGCCCATACAGGTGGGGGAGAGCAGCGGGGACCCAAGGAGAAGCTGGAGCCTGTGCCGCTCCTCTTCTCCCTGCCAAGCCGCTGCTGTGTTGGCCACCTGGCACCCCTGTTGCCAATGGCGCCCTGTGCTCGCCATGGCAACAGGGGCGAGGAGGTGCAGCCAGGCCGGCCCTGGCTGTGCCCCCTCTCAGCTGCGCCTGAGGCGAGTGCCTCACTCGCCCCATGGTAGCTACAGCCCTGGCGATACCTATCTATTCCAGCTGTGTATTCAGCAAACACCACCGTCCTCTACCACACCACACCACAGTAACCACAGGTTACTTTCAATGAAGTCATTAGTGCGTACCCTGATTGGAAATTAGGGGAGCATAGGCTGCGATGTGTGTGTAACAATGTATTGCTGGACTTTTTGGGAAAGAACAATTGTCCTGTGCCAAACTCATCTATGCCAATGAAAAATAAAAACGCACAGCCTTTAGAACTACTTTAGAACTAATCTAGGGGGCTCATGAAGCTGTATTACTCACCTGAGTCTCGGTCCCGCAGCAGTTGGCGCTTACCTCTCTCTCCCTCCAGCACTACGGCTGTGTAATGTCCCTTTGAGTTCTCATGTCTACTGCAAGTCAATGGACCTGCATCAGATGTGGTGATGTCACTGGTCCTTAGACCACTGGAGCCCTTAAGTGAAGAGGCTGCAGGGGCCAGTCTAGCAGCTTGAAAGGGGCCAGCAGGAGCATGGATCAGGTATGGCATACATTGTTGGCAACACAAGGCTTAAACCAAATGAATAAAAGCCAACTACTGTAAGCAACCCCGGATATAGTAATATGGTAATATGGTTTCTTCCAAACCCTTTAATATAACACTATTATTAAAGGTATTATAATAGACATTTGACACACATACTCCACCAAGCTGATCTGCATCACATGTAGAAAAAAACAAATCTAAAAAAGTGTTCCTGTACTGAGAAAAATATGGGGGATGTGCTTGCTGAGCTCCTTTGCAAAATGCGAGTTGCCTGGCTATTTTGGCCTCAGTAGGGTGGCATGTTGAACCTCTGCAGAGAGACCACTGCTTTCCCACAATGCACAAGGGTCTTTGTCAGCATGCTCCAATTAACTTTCCAGTCAGCTGGAAATATGAGCTATACTGATTGTAGAGCTCTTACCAGGGGGCATCTGACCTCTGCAGAGAGACCACTGTTTTCATACAGAAAACAAGGGTTCTTTACTACAGCATGGCGGCAGTGGACAGGCTTTTCTACACAGACTGTGGCTGCTTTCCAGAGGAAGGGAACTGTAAGTCTTTGTACACCTTTTGTTTTGTTGTACCCGTAATTAAAACAGAATGATTCACATACATTTGTAGACCCGCCAACCCCAATCCCAGCACTTACCATCCACCACTTGTAGGTGCTCTCCGACAGCATGTTGCTCTGCTTGGTCAGGAGGGGCGAAGCGGTCAGATTAAACCTCTCATCGAACCAAGGGGACACTTCGGTCTTGGACACGCACGGACTCCGCATGGACGCCATGAACCTCACAAAGGGGTTCCACGTCATGAGCACGGAGTTCTGGGTGTAGTTTAGAAGGAAGGAGGTGATGGTGATGGCGAAAAAGGCCAAAGCGATTGTAAACAGCTTCAAGTTCCTGTGCCTCAAGGCGACCATGTTGGTGTCTTGTCAAAGTTCCCTCAGTTGAACAAATCCAGCAGGAAGTCCGAAGATGTGGCCACGAGCCTTTAAAACAATGTCATCTGGTCGTAATTCTGGGCTGTCCCAGAAAAACATAAAGTAACTCTCCTTCCAAGAAAGGATTGGAAATACTCCGGAGTAATTATCAACACATTTTATATCTCCGCAAGCTGTGGTGAGCGCGAGACTCAGACTACCCCTCGTCCGGGTCCAGAGATTGCTCAGATCCTCGCGAAACCCATGAAGAACTTTCCCAACAATCTTGCCGGTTTTGTCCCTGTGAGGAGAGAGGAGACAAAGAGACCGTTAGCTGTGTGCTGGCTGCCTGATGAGAAGAATGACAAATATCTCCGTCAGAGGAAAGGTTCTTTTTTTTTTTTTTACTCCTCCTGCGGGCAGACGGGAATAAGGATGACTAGATTAAATCTCAGCCCGGTAAACAAGACCAGGAACCTCGAAGAAAAGGAAAAAGTCGTCAGACTAAACTCATGTTATTTCCATGAACATTCATCAATCACGGCGGCGGTGCCTTGAACTCCACAAGAAAGAAGGAAATGAAAGACCTTGAAGAATATAATTAAACCTTCATTATAGAACAGATACATGCTAAGCACAGCGGCTTACTTTTTTTTCATGGATTACAGTTAAAGAGACCCTGTCACCAACTTGAAGAAATCCGTGTGAAAGCACAGAAAAGAAACCTCAAGTATTTTAACCACTTGTGCCTGTAATACCCTTTAATTACCGAACCATTTTTCAGTGCTGTCATAGTTTGAAAGGCAATGACTCAAACATTTTTTCAATAATGAATCCAGCTCAAACAAATATAAATTGCCCAGCAAACTATTTCAGTACATTTTTGCCCATCATGTTTCTGGACAGCTCCAACTCGCTCAGCTTGTCTTCTCTTAACTTCCTGTCCTGTAAATTTTTGCCCATCATGTTTCTGAACAGCTCCAGCTCTCTCAGCTCGGTTTCTCTAAATGTTCTGTGCTGTAAATTTTTGCCCATCATGTTTCTGAACAGCTCCAACAGCTCCACAAGTGTCAGTACAGTCTCCAGCAGCTGTCCATCTACTAGCTTGGAGAAGGGAGAGGGGGGCGGAGGAGTGGCTTGCCTTGCTTTGCCTTTATGTTTGTGGAGATGCACACAGCTTACTAGCACACACAAGGATGGCTCCATAGGAAGGGAAGGGAAAGGAGACACCTTAAAACAGGATATCAGGGCCAGTGTTCAGGGGACCAGCTGATTCTGCAGGAAGCTAAAACTTTAAAGCTGGCCTTACACCTATGGATTATCTGCAGATTTTCTATGGTCAGATGGAAAAAGTGCAACAGATGCCTCCATCTACGCTAATGTGTGGATGGAGGAATCTCCCACTGGGCCAAGCTTCAGTGTCTGGCTAGTCGGCCCCGCTGGCTCTCAAAACACCTGAACAATGCCTGCATCCAATCAGATTGTTGAGGTATTTTGCGAGCCAATGGGGCCGACTAGCAAGATACTGAAGCTTGTCCCAGCGGGAAATTCCGCGATCCACACAGTTTAGCGTAGACGGAGGAATCTGTTGCACTTTTTCCATCTGACCGTAGAAAGTCTGCAGGAAATCTATAGGTGTATGGCCAGCTTTAGACATTAAAGGAGAACTATGGGGTAAGTGTTTTCCCCATAGTTCTCCTAAGGGTCACGGGAGGACATATACTAGCGTCCTCCCGTGACCCAAAGCTCAGTATATCGCGAAGCTACAGCTGGCGGTATACCGAGACCGCCGCAGCCGGGACAGATCCCGACATTACTATCGAGATCCACCCAGCTGCGTGATTGACAGCGGGCTCTGCCTGTCTAGAGGCAGGGCCAGCTGTACCCGCCCCTCGCCCGTCCGTTCCGCCAGTCAGAGCTGGAGGATCGGAGCGGGGAGGGGGGAGTGACAGTCACGACTCTCTGCAGGGACAGGATCAAGAAGTGAGCGAGCCACTGTATGTGTTCGCTCACTTCCCGATCTATTGAGCCGACGTGTGACAGTTTCATTGTCCCACGTCGGCTCGAACTATGAGGGGAGTGAAAATCACTCACCTCATAGTTCTCCTTTAAGGAGCAGCATCCATTGTAAATAATTTAATCAGCATCTTAAATAGCTTAAAAACCGATGGACTTTAACACCTACCACTTACTATGTTGGTTGTCATATCACACTCATTCTATAAACAACCCTTTCTAGCTTTTATATTTCTTCCGGGTGTTTCTCTTTACTGGGAATTTGTAAGTGGGTTGTGTAACCTTTGATTCTACATTTACTATTATCTAAGCAGAACCATATGCTTCACTGCCTCATCTTTCTGTATGTAGTTTTCCATATGTTTAATATTTTTTTTTAACGACAGTGGATTGCGTTCTTTGTATTTCTTGTATATTAAAGTTTGCTATTATGTTATCAATGTGTTGGCTATTGAAATCTTTCTCCCTCTTTGTTAAGGGATTGTTATGTTCTTTTTTTTTCATGTTAAAAAAAAAAAAAAAACAAACAATAAAAATTAACTGATTAAAAGTCAAGGTTTGGCTTTAATTTAGATTTTAAGCCCTAAGGGGCAGGGCCCTCCTTACCATCTTGTCTTAAATTGTATTGTAACTGTAATGTCTTCCTTATATTGTAAAGCGCTGTGCAAACTGTTGGCCCTATATAAATTCTGTATAATAATAACAATAATAATATCACTTTATGTAACCACTTTTTTTTTTAACTACAAAAAGGAATCAAGAAACCAAACATAAAAAAAGCTACCCTTTACTCTGTGTTAAAATAAACAAACACCCCCAAAATAACCCCTTTTTGGAAAGTAGACACCCCTACTGGGCCAATGATAGGGGTGTCTACTTTCCAAAGCTATACCATACCTACTATGTTACTAAGGTGATCTCATGTTGTGCCACAATTTTTTTGGGAAATGAAGAAACATGCCTGAGGGGGTTAAAAAACATGGAGTTTGGTAATGGAGGACTAGGTACAGGTACATAGGCAAAGGGATCAGGAAGTGAAGAGGTCACATTCTGTACAGCGGGAGGATAGAGATGAAGGGGTTAATGGGCAGATGTGAAGGATAAGGGAGGTGAAGGGTTAAAGGTCTTCCTTGGGGTTAAGGCTTTTCCCCATAGTTCTCCTTAGGGTAACGGGAGGACACAAACTAGCGTCCTCCCGTCACCCTAAGCTCAGTATACCGCGAGCTACTGCTCGTGGTATACTGAGACGCCGCAGCTGAAGCGGATCCCGACAATTATGTCTGGATCCGCCCAGCTGCGTGAGTGACAGCTGGCTCTGCCTATCTAGAGTCAGAGCCAGCTGTACCCGCCCCCTCCCCGTCCGATCCGCCAATCAGCGCTGGCGGATCGGAGCAGGGAGGGGCAAATCCAGCCCCTCCCCTGTCACGGCAGGGAGCTGTGACAGGATTGAGAAGTGAGCGAGCACCGGTATGTGTTCGCTCACTTCTCGATCTACTGAGCCGACCTGTGACAATCTCATTGTCACAGGTCGGCTAGAACTATGAGGTGAGTGAAAAGCACTCACCTCATAGTTCTCCTATAGAGAGAACCATGAATTGACGTAGATGCCTACTATACAGTATTGCAACCAGTGGCAACAAACTAGGTGCTCGTAGTGACCGCTATGGAAGGCACCATGCTGACCACCGGAATTCAAAGAAAAGTCATGGTGTTGCCTGAAGGAAGGGAACCTGCATGGCCCCATAACTTTGGCTTAATAGACCGATGTGACATGATTATGCATAATGAGCTGTTGAGTGATGGTGATTTATCTTTGAAGGGGTTAATACATCCCGGGTCACAAAGAGAAACAGGATGGAGCTAAGATGTGTAGCCATACACCAAGAAACTCTTGTTGAAACATGTAGTCTTCAGAAGATTGCTTTATCTTTTTGTAATAGTTAAATCGATGATCATTTTTGAGCACAGTGATGGCATTATCGAAGGTTGTGAAAAGACTTTTCATATGAATGTTCATAGGAAAGTCTACCAGTGTATGACCAGCTCCGGGGCAGTGAAAAGGGTTAAAAACATCATAACCAAGTCAATGAATGAATGGCTCAGCAGCGGCTCATTCATTATTACTATTTCCTCCCCTTCCTTTTTGTAAGAGGAAAGGTTGGAATAAAAATGGAAACAGCAGTATGTGATCACATGCTACACAGCCACTTGGATCGGCACTGTACGTCCAATAAAGGCTTGGGACACAGCACAAATGGCTGCCCCCGGGATTTCCTACAGCGCCGTTTACAAACGACGGAGGGTAAATAACAGTCCACCACTTTCTTGATTTAAAAAAAAAAAGGAAATCGGTTAACTGCAGTTCTTTTCTTTTCTTTTATTTATTTTTGTATTATTATTATTTGAGGTATTTATATAGCACTGACATTCACAACATGCACATTCACATCAGTCCCCGCCCTCGAGGAGCTTACAATCTAAGGTCCCTATCTCACATGCATACATACAGGGCTGAATAAAGCTGCCCACACACCTTACAATTTATCTGCAGATTTTCTGTGATCAGATGGAAAAGGTGCAACAGATTCCTCCATCTACTGTGTGGATGGAGTAATCTCCACCTGGGCCAATCTGTTGCACTTTTTCCATCTGACCACAGAACATCTGCAAATAAATTGTAAGGTGTGTGGGCAGCTTTAGAAAGGAGACAATTAACCTTGCAGCATGCCTTTGGAGCATGGCAGGAAGGAAACCCACCCAAGCACAGGGAGAACATGCAAACTCTTTGCAGATAGGGTCCTCACCAGGCTTTGAACTAGCTTATGTATAACAAACAGCGGTCGCAAGCTGATTACATGAGACCGGACTTGTGCTGCACCTTCATCAGCTAATACTATAGACGCATTGGCCATTTTTGCTGCCTATAAACATTGCCGATAAACTGTCTCTCTCTTTACTTTCACTCGAGGAAGAAAACCTCATCGTAATC